TTTTTTGGCTTGACATATTGTTACGACCAATCACAGAGCAAACAGAGTTAGTTGCCAAGATGAAATGTGGCACATCCTAAATACAATTACTGCTTAACCCATAAATGGAACTGAGTTGTTAAGTGAAACTGATAAAAAAGATGTCTCCAAGCATTATAGATCGCTAGATCTCAACTGCGAACATGCTAGATTTTGGCAGACTGGTCTAGAGTGTTCGCTATATGTATTCTACTATCAAAAGATGCAGTTTAAGAACTGGATTCGCATAAGTCGAAAAATCTGCCTTTGGCGATCCGTCATTTCACTTCAGTCTACGCTGATAAACTATCAGTGTGTGTTATGGTTGCGATGACCGAATAGAATTAGTACAACAAGCCAATGATGATTCAAAAAACTAGATAGTCCTACTGAAGAAAGGATCACAATATTGAATCATCCAGATGAGCATCACAACTTATAAGGAATGAGAAAATAAATTACTAGTATGTAAGAGACGAATCACAGCTCGGACATTTAAGTTAGAATAAAATCTAATCGTGAATAAAAACTAATCGTGCAGAACTCACGGAGTGAGCGAAAAAGCTAGGGCGACAGGCTGAAAGATATTTCATTGAAGTAGAAACTTGCAAATTGCAAATCGTAACCAATATCGATAACCCTACCTTATGATCTCCCGTGCAAACATCCCTTCCAAAGGATGAATAGGTTGGACTCCCTTTCTTCACGAGCTCAAAGGCACTGTCGTTCATCAGCACACGATCGCACCAAGCAGGAGCTCTTGTTTTCATCATCACTTCTGATTCATCTGGATCCTCACTCCAAGGGTAACTGCAAAGTGAGAGCGTTTCTAAGTAATTTGAATTGGACAAACAACGATCATGATTGAACCTCAACAAGTTCTGCAATTATTTTGCTGACGCAAATTAGCGATTAAGCTCAAAAGTTCTGCGAGCTATGAATGTACTTCAGACATCTTAAGATTACACACGAAAATATAGAAGATTAATTCATTTCAGTTGATCGTTAGTAGACGCAATACGGGCATGTGGCAAGACAGTGCGAAGAAGTGTTCCCAACATTAACCGAAAATTGAAGAGCTGTATGGTCTAATTGTGAAATAACCAACCGATATAACATAAAGTGTTGGATTTCAGATACCAAGGAACTGACTAAGCGTATAATGAGAACCGAAGCAGAACTGGATGACTTTTGCAACTTCCAGTACAGCATAACTCACGTTGGGGGAAAATTGATTGGGAGTTCGTGCAACTGAGAGAACTTGCTGGGTTCTCGATCGTCTTCAAGGTATGACTTCCAGTCATCTAGTAATTTCTTCTGATTAAAATAGTCAAATCTCTTCTTTTCAATCCGAAGGACGCATCTGCAAAGCATGGAGAGATAAAGATGTGACGAAAGAGGAGTATTCAGCACAGAAAAGAGAAATAACAACTAACCCCGCTCTGATATCGCTTAACGATGGGCGTCGAAACTCTATGGCTGACACAGTTCGTCGCAATGTTTCCGTCGTGGTTGTGTTATTCTCGCATACAAGACCATCTGCAACCGATCCATGTGGTTCCTCTAGTGGATGAGCCGAAGCTCTTTCCGTCAGGCGCTGTAAGACATTACTGATTAAGGACGAACCAAAAACGCGCATCACAAGAAGTGGAAAAGTGAAGAAAAGTATGTTAAACATGATACATATAAGAGCTAAAAGAAAAACACGCAAAAACATAACATTTTGTATCATACCCACCCGACCCGTCTAGACTTGATTAAAAACTATGCCCAGGCTTTGGACCTTCAAATCAAGCTCAGTTCAATTTCGCTTCTTACCGTAGCGAATATCATGAAATATGTAAAACAAAAGTAAGATGGAGACATTGGAATGAAGCGATATACTCAAAGAACTGATTTATCTAACTCAGCGATTACCTCAGTAGGCTGAATTGGTAGCAAGAAGGAAATCCAAGACACGCTGAGGATATCCACCTTACTGAATAAAGCTCACTATAGAAAAATCTGATAAAGTTACGACCATAGCTTGAGATCTTTTTGAATAAAGTGAGGTAGCAACCGGCAAATGGCATGTGACAAAGGCAATTGAAACAAGGCCGTTTGAAAAGTCTTTTAGCTAAGGACTCCAGCACCAAAACATATCGCGGAGCAGCCTTTGAGCGCTTCACATTATCTACTTACACGAAAGAGTTACTAAAAACAAATAAAAAAGAAAAATCAGAAAAATCAAACATAAAACCACGCACGTTCAGAAATGACGTCGAATCAAGACGAAAATTGAAGTCTCCGAAAACGAAACAATGGGACGAGGTCCATGTGCCGGAAGAAGAAAGTTGTTCCAACACGTAATTCAATGCTCTTTTGCGATTTGTACTGTATAAGAATGGGTTCTGAAACACAGAACAAGGCTTCTCCTGTCAACACCAGTAATGCATACGTAGAAAACTTATCGAACCTCGTGAATTAACGCTAAATTCGATTCATCATGGAATAGGTGAACGTTGACAAAGTCCAGCACTCTAAAACATTCAGATGAACAACAAAATTCAATGAAACGAGCGATAGTGTCGCTTTATTTAGCGTCATTAGCAACATGAACGTAAGATACCGTTTGTCTTACACATAAAAATCCAATCATTGAAGGAAACTTTTGAAACTCACATGTTGTTCAACTTCCAACGTGTTTGCATGTATCCTTTTCGTCCCCATTTGAATGTGGGCCAAAAATCTTTCGGGAATTTCTTTTTGATAATCAGCGGAGAGCTGTCCAATTCATCCGTCCAACCAACTATAGTAGTACCCTTCACAACAGGAGCATACGAGCATGTTTTAAAATTATACTGTGACATCGAACCGATGCAGCTAGACTTAATGAGGATGACATTTCCCAAAGCCTGAAAAAACAAAACCTAATTACTACACCCAAGATCAAAAGAAACTTACTGTAAAACTGGGTCCCATATGATCCAAATCCAAATATGCTTGAACAGTGGTGTACATGGGCACACGAATTGTTAGTTCATCGATAAGTTTTGGTACTTGCCAAGCACATTCCGCATAACTGAAAGCGACGCAACTCAAGAAAAGCATAAGCAGACCAGACTTGACTGTTAGTTTGGAAAGGAAGCCTATTAGTAAGAAAAAGAACGTATGAACGGAGGAACATGTATTATAGAAATGGAACCAAAATGTAACAAAATCGTGCGCGCGTCACTACGAAGTTGACAAATATCTTCAGTGTAAATAGACTAATTTGAGAAAAATAACAAAAAAGCAGTCACAACATGTTCGAAGTTTCTGGACAACTCATTAGCTTTTTTTAAATTTATTTTATCTTACATTTCACTGTGGTTCAACGACCTACGTGATTCATCACGCATGCTTCCGCATAATAAACAAAGCAAGCAGCATCAGCAAAAAAAAA